ACTCCCTGCTGGCAAAGCACTGGGACCAGTCTGAGAGGGGAACTGGAGCTCCTGGTGCCCAGGGTGTGCTGAGCAGGGCTGCTGGGGCACTGCAGGTGCAGCTCAGCTGGAGCTTGAAGGGGAATCTTGGGGACCCCAACCAGAGCCATCAGAGGGCAAAGGTGGTCCTCCTTGGAATGACCCATGTCCTCCTGGAATGACCCTTGTCCTCCTGGAATGACCCCTGTCCTCCCTGGGATAACCCCTGTCCTCCTTGGGAATAACCTTGTCCTCCTGGAATAGCCCATGTCATCCTGGAATAGTCCATGTTCTCCTGGAGTAAACCCTGTCCTTCTGGAGTAACCCCTGTCCTGCTGGAGTAATCCATGTCCTCCTGGAATAACCCATGTTCTCCTGGAATAACCCATGTCCTGCTGGAATAACCCATATTCTCCTGGAATAACCCATGTCCTGGTGGAATAATTCATGTGCTCCTTGGGATAACCCATGTTCTCCTGGAATAACCCATGTGCTCCTTGGGATAACCCATGTTCTCCCTGGAATAACCCATATCCTCATGGGAATAACCCATGTCCTTCTTGGGAATAACCCATGTGCTCCTGGAATAACCCATGTGCTCCTGGAATAACCCATGTCCTCCCTGTGAATAACCCATGTGCCCCTGGAATAACCCATGTGCTCCCTGTGAATAACCCATGTGCCCCTGGAATAACCCATGTGCTCCTTGGGAATAACCCATGTGCTCCTGGAATAACCCATGTGCCCCTGGAATAACCCATGTCCTCTCTGGAATAACCCATGTGCTCATGGAATAACCCATATCCTCCCTGGGAATAACCCATGTCCTCTCTGGAATAACCAATGTGCTCATGGAATAACCCATGTGCTCATGGAATAACCCATGTGCCCCTGGAATAACTCATGTCCTCTCTGTAATAACCCATGTGCTCATGGAATAACCCATGTGCTCATGGAATAACCCATATCCTCCCTGGGAATAACCCATGTCCTCTCTGTAATAACCCATGTGCTCATGGAATAACCCATATCCTCCCTGGGAATAACCTGCTCATGCCATTGGTGCTGGCTGTGTCCTGCTCATGCCACCTCAGAGATCCTGGCTGTGTCCTGCTCATGCCATGTCCTGCTCATGGCCAGCCCAGCACCCCGAAACCCTGCAAGGTTTCTCACTGGTGGGGAGAGAGCAGTGCCCAAGCATTCCCCTGTAGCTCCATGAATGTTTATGGGCCAGGGGTGTCCCCGTGCCCCCCTGGACTGTCCCCTGCTGCCCAGGGCAGGATGAAGCACAGAGGAGAAGGGAAGGTGTTTGCCCTGAGCAAATCCACCCCATCCTCATCCTCTGTGGGGTCTCTTTCCCCCATAACCACATCCCTGTGCTCCTGTTGCCCCTGGCTCAGGCAGGGATGCTGCAGGACGAGGGCAGCTGTGGGTTTGGGAGCTCTGTGTCTGCTCCTGGCAACAGCAGATGTAAAACCAGAGCTGGGTTTGTCTCCCCAGGCTGCCCCTGGCACTGCTCCTCTCCTCACAGGGGGAACAGGAGGAGCAGAGCCATTCAGGGCTGTCTGGCAGGGCTGGGCTGTGCCATTACCCACCCTGACCTAGGTGAGTGTGCACAGCCCCACTGTGGGGGCTGGGGAGCTTCTGCCACACGGGGCTGCTCCTGATCCAGGGACGGCCCAGGAATGGGGGCTCAGAGCCCCCCCAGCCCCCCAGGCAGCAGATCCTGGTGGATCCCTGGGGCTGGATGTGCTCCCAGCTCCCTCCCTCCCCTGCTCCAGAGCTGGCTAATGTAACCCAGTTCTGCTCCTTCAGACCTGGAAAAGGGAGCTCATGGTTGTTTCCCAGGTGTGTTGTGTTGCCTATTCCCATAAAAAACATTGTGTCCCTCTCCAAGGTGGGACCAGGGGTGTCCCCAGCCCAGAAACCCTTCCCAGCTTCCCCCCAGGGCAGCTCCTGAAGGAATTTGGGAAACCCAGAGCTGTGGGAAGGGGTTCCTGGTGGAAAGGTGCTGTGGGAGTTTGTGAGTTGCTGCCTGGGACTTGCTCCCTCCCTGATCCCACTGTCCTGCTCCGTCCCAGCAGTTTGCACCTCCTGTTTCCTCTGGGGCTGATTCATAAAAATCCCAAGCACTGGACATGGAGCAGCTGGATCCTCCCAAACCTCATCCTGTGCCACAAACTGAGAGCTCAGCCTAAAAATAGCCCTGTGCCTGTTAGAGGTGTAGCCCCGACTGCTGATGAGGTCTTGGGAGCCAGAAATAGCTTCAGAGTCCCAGCAGGAGCAGAGGATTTGCCTTGAACAGCTGCTTTTTGGAGCAGCTCAGGCTCAGCCCGCAAATCCCCTTGGATGCTCACAGGGCTGGGGGTGCTGGGGGCACATCCAGGCTGTTCCAGGGCAGCTCCTGCCTTTCCCTGTGTTAATCCCCTCAGGCCCTCCGTGTTTTTTTCCATGGGATGATGTAAGGCACACAAACTCCTTTCAGGAGCTCTTTGTCTTTCCTGTGCAGTGACTCAGCCCCCCAGGCTGTCCCTGCCCAGCTGCTGCAGCCCTTCCCTCCTGAGCTGCTTCCAGCTCTTCCTTTAAATGGAAAATGCACTGGGGATGTTCCAGACAGCCTTTTCCCCTCCAATCCCTTGGGAAGTGTTCTCCTGATGCACCTGCTGCTGCATCCATGATGCACCATCCCATGCCCTCCTATCCCATCCTATTATCCCATCCTATCCCATCTCATTATCCCATCCCATTATCCCATCCCATCCCAATCCCATCCCAATCCCAATCCCATCCCATTATCCCATCCCATTATCCCATCCCATCATCCCATCCCATCCCATTATCTGACTCCATGTTTCAGAAGGCTGATTTATTATTTTATGATATATATTACATTAAAACCATACTAAAAGAATAGAAGAAAGGATTTCATCAGAAAGCTGGCTAAGAATAGAATAGGAAAGGACGATAACAAAGGTTTGTGGCTCGGACACTCTGTCTGAGCCAGCTAACTGTGATTGGCCATTAATTACAAACATCCAACATGGGCCAATCACAGATGCACCTGTTGCATTCCACAGCAGCAGATAATCATTGTTTGCATTTTGTTCCTGAGGCCTCTCAGCTTCTCAGGAGGAAAAATCTTCAGGAAAGGATTTTCCATAAAAGATGTCTGTGTCAGGGATTTTGTGTGGGGTGGGACAGTGGGAAGCATTCCCAGGAATCCTCTGGAATCAGTGGGACCTTTGTTCTGGGCATGGCCAATAGCTCCTTCTGGAGCCTGCTGTGGGAATGTGGGAATTGCCCCCAGATCAGCAGCCTGGGAAGGGAGGGCTTGTGTTGGGTGGGGCTGGAGCTGCTCAGCAGCTGCTGCTGCCCCAGAGAACTCCTGGGATGCATCACCCTTTAAAGCATTGATCCAAGGACACTTCCAGGCAGCCCTGAGCATCTTTGCTGGAGTGAGACACAGCAGGTGTGGCAGGAAGCTGATTTAATGGATGCTCCTGAGCTCCTTTGCCACTCTGGGTCAGTCTCTGCTGAGAGGATCCCTGAGTCACCGGCTCTGGGACATTCCAGTCACGAGCACAAAACGCTGGTGGCTTTGTCTCCTTCCAAACACAGCTCCCAGCTTTGCCTGCAGAATCACAGAGCTGCCTGGAGGGCTCAGTGAGCTGCTGGTTCCCAGGCTACTCAGTGGAAGGGCAGCATTTGGGGTGAGGGCAGGGATGGACATGGGGCTGCAGGTGCACCAGGGAGGGCTCAGGTCCTGTGTGCCACCTCCCAGGTGCACCATGGATGGGTCAGGTCCTGTGTGCCATGTTCCATGTGCACCATGGAGGGCTCAGGTCCTGTGTGCCACCTCCCTAATGCACCATGGAGGGTTCAGGTCCTGTGTGCCATGTCCCAGGTGCACCATGGAGGGCTCAGGTCCTGTGTGCCACCTCCCTAATGTACCAGGGAGGGCTCAGGTCCTGTGTGCCATGTGCCAGGTGCACCAGGGAGAGATAAGGTCCTGTGTGCAATGTGCCAGGTGCACCAGGGAAGGCTCAGGTCCTGTGTGCCATGTGCCAGATGCACCATGGAGGGGTCAGGTCCCGTGTGCTACCTCCCAAATGTACCAGGGAGGGCTCAGGTCCCGTGTGCCACCTCCCTAATGTACCAGGGAGGGCTCAGGTCCTGTGTGCCACCTCCCAGGTGCACCATGGAGGGCTCAGGTCCTGTGTGCCACCTCCCAGGTGCACCATGGAGGGGTCAGGTCCTGTGTGCCACCTCTGTGTGGGGTGTTTGTGTCTCTGACTTGGGTTTAGGTGCTATCTGGGACACTTGGGTTATAATTCCAGCATCACTGAGGTTGGGAAAGCCCTCCTGGATCATTGAGTCCAATGCCCAAAGCACTGAGTGCCACATCCAGGCATTCCTTGGACACCTCCAGGGATGGGGACTCCAAATCTCCTGGGTAGTTCCAGTGTTTTCCAGCCCTTTCCTTGGAGAAACTCGTGCTGGATGTCCCTGGTGTGTGATGGTGTTTGCAGGGGTCTTAAGATGAGGGAAGAGACGAGAATGTTGACTCCATGTTTCAGAAGGCTTGATTTATTATTTTATGATATATGTTACATTAAAACTATGCTAAAAGAAGAGAAGAAAGGATTTCATCAGAAGGGTAGCTAAGAATAGAAAAAGAATGAATAACAAAGGCTTGTGACTGACTGAGACAGTCCAGACAGCCGGACTGCGATTGGCCATTAATTAGAAACAACCAAGATGGGCCAATCAAAGATGCACCTGTTGCATTCCACAGCAGCAGATAACCATTGTTTACATTTTGTTCCTGAGGCCTCTCAGCTTCTCAGGAGAAAAAATCCTAAGGAAAGGATTTTTCAGAAAGTATCATGGCTATACTGCTGCTTTCTGTCCTCAAAGTTCTGCTGCCTTGTGGCTCTGGGAGGTGACAGAGGCCCTTCCCTTGTGTGTCCCTGTGGCTGCAGGTGGTACAAGCTGCACTCCAAGGCTGGGAAGAAGGAGAAGGAGCGTGGTGAGATCCTGGTGAGCCTGCAGTTCACCAGGCACAGCCTGACCGCCAGCATGTTCGACCTGTCCGTGAAGGACAAGGCGCGCTCGCCCTTCGGCAAACTCAAGGACAAGGTGACGGGCAAGAAGAAATACGACCTGGAGTCGGCCTCTGCCATCATCCCCAGCAGCATGGCAGCCCTGGACATGGAGGATGACCTGGAGCTGGGGGGCAAGAAGTCCAAGCTGAAGGGTTTCTTCCTGAAGAATAAGCTGCGGCGGTCGTCGCTGACGCAGTCCAGCACGTCCCTGGGCTCGGACAGCACCATCTCCTCTGCCAGCCTGAGCCTGGCAGTGCCCGTGCCCGAGGTGCCCAGGTCCCCCAGCAGGCAGGGCAGCCTGTCCAGCGAGCGCTCTGGTAAGAGGATCAGGGATAATCCCCCGCCCTGCTCCCTTCCTTTCCCTGCAAGGGGCTGCTGAGAGTTCCTTGCAGCTCTGTTAACTGATTGCTCACCCAGCACAGAGCCAGGGATTGGGGAATTGGTGATTCCAGTTCCAGGAATGTGGAATGTGGAACCAGCAATGTGGAATTGGTCAGGTTGGTAAAGCCCTCCAAGATCATGGAGTCCAACTGTTCCCTCAGCACTGCCAAGGCCACCACTCACTGTGTCCCCAAGTGCCACAGCCACAGGGCTGTGAAATCCCCCAGGGATGGGGACTCCAGCCCTGTCCTGGGCATCTGTGCCAGGGGTGGACAGCCCTTTTAGTGGAGAAATTTTCCCAAAAATCTCCCCAGGCCCAGCCTGAGGCCGTTCCCTCTGCTCCTGTCCCTGTTCCCTGGAGCAGAGCCTGACCCCCTGGCTGTCCCCTCCTGGCAGGAGCTGTGCAGAGCCACAAGGGCCCCCTGAGCCTCCTTTGCTCCAGAATGTCACTAAGAGGTGACTCTCAGGATCTGGGGGTTCCTCAGGGCTGTTTCTTTCAGCCCCTCGGGGCAGTCCCTGCCAGGAGGGCCCGGCTGGGCTGGGCTGGGCCGGGCCTGGCTGCTGGTCCAGCCCTGGGTCACTTTCTCTCTTTCTCTCTCTCTTTCTCTCTCTCTTTCTCTCTCTCTCTCTCTCTCTCTCTCTAATGAGCCGCCTCCGCTCGCAGGCAAAGCCCAAGCAGGGCCGGCTCCGGTGATTAAAACAATCTGAGCTCTTGGCACTCCCAGGGCAGTCATTTACAAACAAAAAAGGCCCTTGTAGGGAATTAATTCTCCCTTGGAAACAAATACATCATTCAATGGTTCAGTTGGCTGAGACAGCACATTGCCAGGTCGGGTGGGAGTCCCCGGGGAGGCCCTGTGGCTTCTGCTAGTGACATTCCTGTGCTGGTTCCATCCTCCTTGGGCTGAGCCTTCCAGCTACTGGGAGCTTCCCTTCCCATGGCAGGGGACTGGAACTGGGTGGTCTTTAAGGTCACTTCCAGCCTAAACCATTCCACAATTCTGTGAAGGAAGCAGCATCTCCAGCTGGGAGGGGCAGGCAGCTGTCAGTTGTTTTCCTTGGGTTCTCCATGCAAAAATTGGCAGTAGCCATGAGGTCATAGAATCACAGAATTGTTAAGGTTGGAAAAGATGTTTAAGATGATCAAGTCGAACCTTCAAGGCAGTGGGAGGGAGAGGCAGGCACTGCACCCTCCTGGCTCATCACAGCAAGCAATGGCCTAGAGCCCATGGCCCCATCATCTCTTGTTCAGTACAAACTCATACATCAAATGGAAGCTTTAAAACCCTTTAAGGAGCTTCTGAGGAGCTCCTTGCATTTATTACCAAGCTCAGATCCTGTCAGACAATGGGTTTGTCATCTTGCAGAGCCTCCTCTGGGGTCCTCCCCTGCTGTGCTTGGGGACAGTTTTGTGTCCCTAGTATGGCCACACACCAGTGAGCTGTGCTTTGCATTTCCAAGGGTTTAATCACAATCCCGTGGCAGGGAGAAGGTTGGGGTGGTTTCCAGCTCTCTTTGGCATGTCCAGGTGGAAGACAAGGATGATCTTGTGAAAAGTGCACATTATGTGGTTCTACACAGATATTTACAATATGTATTTTGATGTATTGATTAGTAGTGCTGTATTAACATTTTAACAATATGATAAATGTAGTCTTGTAATTTCAGGGTAACTTTTGTAGTTAAAATAAGAACTATGTCAGTGGGATTTTTTTAAGAAAGGAATAAGGCACTCACACCAGATAGCAGCCCCAGGACACCTGAATCTTTCAGAGAAAAAGAATTTATTGCCCCATTATCAGAGAAACAAACTTCTTCTTGCCTCAAAGGCGCTGTTAGGATTAGAAGGAAGAAGTTGAGGATGACCAGACAGAATCCTGTGTTTGAATGGAATTTATGCATCATGTATGAGGTGTATGATTATGCAACGGGCTGTTGTTTTTAAGGGTTAATCCTTTGCTAACGTGGGTCCTTTCTCGGGTTCCTACTGCCCAGAAAAAGGTACCCGGACATCCGTAACTCTTTGTCTTTATTGTCTCATATTGTTCTAATTCAATTTGTCCAAATTATTATTACTTTAATTGTAATAAGATTACTATTATTATTACTATTTTATTGATATTTTTATTATTATTACTATTATTTGTATTACATTCTTAAATAATTTTATAAGTATTTGTATATATTTATATATAATTATATATAATTATATCAATTATATAATTATATATTATACATACATAATATTTGCATATAATTATTTTATTTTTATAATTATTATAATAATTATTTGTATTTATATTTTTATTTTTTAATAATTTTAGTAAAAGTTTTTTATTATTATTGCTATTATTTGTATTACTATTTTTATAATTTTAATACTTATTTGCATATAATGATATATATTATATATAATTACAACTATATAATTATTTGTATATAATTATTTTATTTTTATAATTATTTTTAATAATTATTTGTATCACTATTTTTAGTTTTTATTATTTTTAGTAATTTTTTATTATATCAATATTTGTATTACTATTTAAAATCATTTTTAGAATTATTTGTATATAATTATTTTAGTTTTATAATTATTGTCTAAAAATTATTGGTATTACTATTTTTACAATTTTTAGTATTTTTTAAAAATTATTATTAGTATTTTAAATAATTTTATAATTTTTATATCAATAAATATAATATATACGTATATATATTATATATACATAATGATTTGTATATAATTATTTTATTTTTATAATTATTTTTATAACTATTTGTATTACTATTTTAATTTTTTAATATTTTAGTAAATTTTTTTATTATTGTTATTATTTGTATTACTATTTTAATAATTTTCATAATTATTTGTATATAATGATATAATATATATATTATATATAATTGTATCTATATAATTATTTGTAAATAATTATTTTAATTTTATAATTATTTTTAATAATTATTTGTATCACTATTTTTAGGTTTTATAATTTTTAGTAATTTTAAAATTATTAATATCTGTACTAATATTTTTATAAGTTTTATAATTATTTGTATATAATTATATAGAATATATATTATATATAATTATTTGTATATAATTTTATTTTTATAATTATTTCTAATAATTATTGGTGTTGCTATTTTTATCTTTTTAATAATCTTTAGTAAATTTTATTATTATTATTATTATTATTTGTATTACTATTTTTATAACCATTTTATTACTACTAAACTTTTAACATTTTAGAACCAAGCGATTGGCGTTTTTCACACTCCGTTCTGTTGTGTGTTTGCTCCCCGCAGTGAAGGAGCCGCCGGCCTCGCCCAGGCTGAGCCACAAGCGAGCGTTCAGCGATGATGTGTCCCAGTGCGGCCCCGCAGAGGTCCCGCAGAGCCCCCAGGCCCGGAGGGACCCCGGCTCCCGCTCGTCCCTGTGCATCAACGGCAGCCACGTGTACGGGGAGGAGGCGGCGGTGCCCCGGAATCCGCCCGCCTCCGCGCCCCTGCCCGTGCCCCGCAGGCAGGACGAGCCCCTGGGCTTCACCCCCCTGCACGCCGAGCCCCACTGGGGGCTGGGCAGCCTGGAGAGGGCCCAGCAGAGGGACGAGCCCCGCTTCATCCCGTCCCCTCCCAGCCTGGCCCTGCAGGAAGAGCTCAAGGTGTCCACCAAGGCCGTGACCCTCAGCAACCACCTGGGCAGGGCCAGGATGGAGGAGAGCGCCCGCCTGGAGGGCAAACCCAGCCAGGGTGCGGCTGCTCCGGGCCTCCCCGCCGAGCCAGCCAAGGACAGAGCAACCGAGGACACCAGGAAGGAGGAGAAGAAAGCCAAGGGAGGCTTCTTCCACCACGGGGGCAAAGGCCAGGGGGACAGAGGGACCCCCGTCCACACCTCGGCCGCGGGGGATGAGAGGAGTAAGAGCAGCGGCTGGTTTGGCTCCAAGGAGCCCAAAGAGTCCCCTCAGAAACCCAGGTCAGTGCCAGGGGGTGTGGAGGTCTAGGCTGGTGATTCCTGCCCCAAATTCCTGTCTCCAGCAGCTCCTGGATGCCCCTGGGAGTGCTCAGGCAAGGGCAGAGCAGGGAAATGCTTCCTTGCTCTAAAACGTCTCAAAGGGAAGGGGATTTTCCTGGATCCTCTCCTGGTTTCTGCCAGAAACCACCTCTGCTGGATGTGGGATATGTTTTACTCTCAAGGAAGGGAGGGATCCCCTCCATGGAGAAGAGAGGCTCAGTGTGGTCACACCAAGTGGTTGTGTGGCCTCAAAATACAGATTCATTATCCTTTAATGAGCTAAAAAAGCTTCCCTGGCAGTCAGGCTGGGATGTGGGGTAGTGGGATTTGTAATCACATTCCTGTTATGAACCCCACACCCCCTATAGGCTCTGGTCAGGGTGCAACACTTTGGTTACAGGAGATATCATGAATATTCCCAAAGTAACTAATCCCAACCCTGCTCTTTCCTCTTCCCATCCTACCCAGCCTTCCTTTCTCCCGGTTATGAATCTCTAACTGTTTTCTTGCTTTGTGTGGTGATTCATCCCTCCCAATCCTCAGGGTTTGTGGTGTTTGTGCTGTTCCTGTGAGGAATCCATCACCCGTGTCCCCCCTGGAGCTGAGCTGGCAGTCCAGAGGTCGAGGGTGGTGTCAGTGAGAGGCAGGAAATGGGGTTAAAATCAGCCAGAGAAAACAAGCAGCACTCAGAGCAGAGCTGCTTCAGTCTGCAGGCTTGTTTATGAGAGGGATTTTCTAATCTGGGCTGACTTTAACCTCATTTATTAAGCAGAACGATTTTGGTTCAGTCTGAGCCTCCTTTAATGAAGAGGGCACTCCTGGTTTATTCCACATAACCTGGCACCCACAGGGGTTAAACTTGTGAGGGGATGAGCACATCCCTCAGCCTGGCTCCAGCCCCAAAATTCCTCCTTTCCCATGCTCGTGGTGGCCTTGAGGCTGCACAGGCAGAGCTGGGACACTGGGACAGGCAGGAGCTGCTCCCTGGGGCAGGAACATCAGCAATATCCCATCCCACTGGAGCTCAGTCCCACAAAGTCCAGCAGTGGGAAGGATGTGAGACAGGTGTGAGGTCTGGGGGCTGCTGTGCTGCACCTCTGGCATTCCCTGTGCCTGGCAGTGCCCAAGGATGAGGCTTGGAGCACCCTGGGCTGGTGGAAGGTCCCTGTCCATGGCAGGGCTGGAATGGGATGGGCTGTAAGGTCCCTTCCAACCCTCACCGGGCCGTGATTCTGGGATTTCCTGGAGACTCAAAGCCCTGGAGTGGTTTGGGGTCACATCCCAGGGCAGGGTTTGTGCATGAGCCTGAAGGACTCCGGTCTCTGCACCGTGTCCTTGAGGAATGAAAGGGCATTCCCACTCAAGATCATTCTTTTCATTTTTCTTTCTAATTTTGGGATAAGAAACCTGCTGGTTAAGGCCTAGAATAAAAAAATCAAGGCTTAAAAATTCTGCTGTATCCAGGCAGTGCCTCCACAAGTGCCTGAGGCAGCCAGGGAAGCATCAGTGGGATGGGATGGGATGGGATGGGATGGGATGGGATGGGATGGGATGGGATGGGACGGAGCTGCCCTCGGCATCTCTCTCTGGGGCCTTTTCCTTGGGAAATGGGTGAGAAGCCAGCAGGTTTTCCCCTTTTCCTTGGGAAATGGGTGAGAAGCCAGCAGGTTTTCCCCTCTTGGCAGTCTGGGAAGGAGGCAGGCAGGGCCATGATGCTCTGATTTCAAGGCAGAGATGTCAGACCCAGCTGGAGTTCAGCTCCTTGTCCATCCAGCCCAATGAATAATCACCAGGAGTGCCCCTAAACACTGCAGCTTCCTGACAGCTCCCTGCACTCATCCCCAGCCTTGCTCCTTTCCCACAGAGTTCCACTCCATGGCTTTGTTTAAATCCCCTCCAGTGCTCACAGTTTAAGCTCAGGCTCAGCCAGAGCTGAGCTTTGCTCAGAGCTGCCTTGCCAAGGACTTTGTCCCTGAGGAGAGGCTTGGGTGAGCTGTGGCAGCAGCTCCTCTGGCTGGGTTTTCTCTCCCAAAACCAGGAATGGATCCCAAGCAGCACAAATGGCAGGGAAGGAATTCACAGAACCCCTTTGGGGTGTTTAGGAACATCTGAGTGGGCTTTAGGTGCAGTTTGCAATTGAGAATGGGAAATAATGAGCTTGAACTGGAGCAGGGGGGATTGAGAGGAGGAGCTGGGAGGAATGGCTCCTGGAGCAGGGGGAAATGCTGGGGATGCCTGGCTGGGAAGGGATTCTCCCTCCCGGTGTCGAGGGATTGGGCTGAGCTGAGAACCAGGGATTGGGACAGCTGAGAACCTCTGGGGAGCATTGCAGGGATCATTTGGTGACTGAGGCTGATTTGCTGCAGAAGGGCCCTGTCCATCCTCACAGGGACAGGGTTGGTCTCTGCCCTGCTCTTCCCAGTTCTCCAGTTGTCCTGGCCATTCATTAGGACATCATTACTTGTTTTAATTACACACAGCTGACTTCTCTGATTTCATTTTGCATCCTTACGCTGAACGACCTCATGGCCCAGGCTGGTGGCTCAGGTCAAAGCTGTGGAAGAGCTTTTAGGTCTTGGTGGCTTCAAAGTGCCAGAGAGCAGGGTCAGATGGGATCTTGGCAAGGAATTCCTGGCTGGGAGGGTGGGCAGGGGCTGGGCTGGAATTCCCAGATTTGCTGTGGCTGCCCCTGGATCCCTGACAGCGTCCAAGGCAGGCTGGACACTGGGGCTGGGAGCAGCCTGGGACAGTGGGAGGTGTCCCTGCCATGGTAGGGGTGGGATGGGGAGGGATTTGAGGTCCCTTCTAGCCCAAACCATTCCAGATTCTGTGATCTCTGGAGTTCTCTGATGTCCATCTGTGGCTGTTCAGTAGCAGTGTCACTCCTAGAGCTGGACTGTCCCTTGCTCTGGAGAGAAGCAGCCTCCGAACTGAGCAGTTTTAAGTCTTGACTTATTTGCAGAAAGGATTTTTCCCCTCCTGCTCTCCTGACTCTGGAAACTTCTGCCAGCAGCACCCTCTCACCTGTTTGGCCTCCTTGGATAGGCCAAGCGTAACCCAGAGCTGAAGGTGGTGAGAAAGCATCAAAATCAGTCATTTGCAAGCCCAGAAGCCTCAGCCTGTAATTAGTTAAAAGGTCTGTAATTAGAGGGATGGTTTGAGATTGCCTGCAGCAAAGCCCAGCCTGGCACAGCTCATCTTTACCCACTTGCTCTGCCAAACACACCCTTCCCAAAATAAGGAGCTGCTGCTTTGGGCTGGGTTTAACTGGAGCTTTATAAAGAAGGTTTTGTTGTGTGCTGGGGGGGTTTGCTGAGCCCTCAGTGTGGGAGCTGGCTCTGCAAACCTGCCTGTGCTCTCCCTGGGGACAGAACTGGGCATTTCTGCCTTCAGCCCTTATTTACACCCCGTTTTCCCTGATCCTTCTCAGGGAAGCAGGTCCCAAAGGCTCTGCTCATCATCCCTGGCTTTGCTAATCCCTGGAGCTCCAGGCTTTGATCCTGGAGGGGATGGAGCAGTAGGAAGATGCTGTTTGCTCTTTGGAGGCTGAATAAAAGCCTGGTTGGGGGTTGTTGCTTTGAATGTCAGTGGTGAAGGGCTGTGTGTAAGGAAGAAGCTCAGCAGGTTTATTTGAGGCAAAGCCTGGGGCTGAAACAATTCTTTACATGTTTCCAGGGTTTCCTCCAATGTTATCAGAGCTCTGCAGCTCCTGCTTCCTGTGGAGAATCCTGATGATAATAAAATGGGGGCTGCATCTTAGGCATGGCAGCAGGAGAAAGAGGAAATTGTGGTCTGTCCTATAAAAACAGGGGCATTTTCAGAATCATGCCCCTTCCCAGAGCCCATACCCTTGGATCCAGCAGTGAGGCCAAACATTGACTCAGTTCCTCCCTGTTCCTCATGTGCTCCTAAAAAGTGCCTTTCCTAAGGGCTGGGAATGGGAGCAGGGCTTGGGATGGCTGGAGCAGAGTCCTTGGCCAGGCTGGCAGTGCTGAGATGGAGCACGGAGCCTGTGGCAGCCCCTCCAAAGCCAGCAGCACCCCCAGAGCAGAGCCTGGGAGGCTGCAGAGGTTGAGGAAGAGGGAGATGAAGGCCATGATGTGAAAGCAGAGCATTGTGGCTAACAGGGATGAATCCATGGGAGCCATCAGGTCACAGCTGTGGCACAGGGATTGTGCAGCTCTGCCCCTGCCTTGGAGCAGCCCCAGGGATGGAGTGGGGTCAGTGTGAGGATGGAAAATGGCTCTTTGTGCTGCTGAGCCTGCCCTTCCCAGGGATGGACACGAGGCAGGGTGAGGAGCTGGACCCAGAGCTGGCACCAGCTCAGCCCTGATGTGCTTTGGAACCATCCAGGAAAAGCACAGCCCCACTCCCACTCCTAAAAGTGGGAATTGGGGATTGATGTTGGCAGCTCCCTGGGTTCCTACTGCCCAGATTTCTTCTGTTTTTTAAAATTCCTGTGGTTTTGAGGGCAAATGTCTGTAAAGGAAGATCTGTCCATTTGAATGGGGATGATGGACAGGTGAGGCCCAAGGGAAGAGCAAAGTGGTTATTGCACAGATAATTATTTTAGATTATTTATGGATTATTATAGGTGATTTATTATAGAGAAACCAAATCCTTCCACCTCTGGATTTCCTATTTTAAACACATTCCCTGACTCCTTCCCTCTGGTGCTCCCACCCTGTACAAAAATGTCCTGGGCTGTTGTTGCCATCTCTTCCAGCACAATTCCTGTTCCTGCTGGTGGGAGGAGGATCCTGATCCCTGCCAGGTCTGGAGCTGCTGCAGGATGCTCCAGCCCTCCATGCTGTGCTTTTCCACCCAGGGGAACCCTGTCAGTGGGAAAACGGGGCCAAAAGCAGCTCGGGAGTGGCACCCACGGGTCCAGCCCTCCTGGAGGGATTCCCTGGGGCTGCAGCACAGCTCTGCCCTCAGCACAGCAGGGCTGGGTCCATCCCTGCCCTTCCCATGTGCTGCTTTCTGCTGCTGGTGCAGAGCCCTGCCCAGCCTGAGAGCAGCCTGGGATCCAGAGGGAGAAATCTCCCTGCACTGAACAAGCTGTTTCCAATAGATTTTTTCCATCAGGGGGTTGCTCAGCAATATTTTATTTCCTTTTTTTTTTTATTGCTGCGAGGCTCAAAGGCGTCTGTGAAGTGCTGCCAAACAAATAAATGAGGGCAGGGAGGTACCCGAGATTTATTTTGGCTGGCGGAGCCGTGTGCTGGGAATGGGAGGGGAAGGAGGAGCAGCAGGAGGAGGAGGAGGAGGGTGAGTCAGCATTTCACAGAGCTGCTGCCATCAGACAAGTGTAGGTTTCCCTCTAGAGGAATCTGCCGTGCTCCACTCCTGCTGTCACCCAGCACTTCCAGCATCCTCCCTCAGGGGGGTGGGAAAAGGGGATTTTGGGCTCAGGGCAAGGGATGGGGGCGAACAGGGATGTTGATCCCAAGGAATGGGGGTGGAATAGGGATGTCCATCCCAAGGAATGGGGTCAGGCAGGGATGTTCATCCCAAGGAATGGGGGCGAACAGGGATGTCCATCCCAAGGAATGGGGGCAAACAGGGATGTCCATCCCAAGGAATGGGGTGGAACAGGGATGTCCATCCCAAGGAATGGGGAGGAACAGGGACGTCCATCCCAAGGAATGGGGTGGAACAGGGATGTCCATCCCAAGGAATGGGGAGGAACAGGGATGTCCATCCCAAGGAATGGGGAGGAACAGGGATATTCATCCCAAGGAATGGGGACAGGGGTCAGTGGTGGCCTTGGCAGTGCTGGGAGTGGTTGGACTTGATGGTCTTTGAGGGCTCTTCCAAGCTAAACATTCCATGATTCTTCTGCCTGGAACTCGCAGCCAAGAGCCCCTGAACAAATCCCAGTGGGTCCCAGCAGAAAGGGCAGATTGGGCTGGGATCTTGGCAAGGAATTGCTGGCTGGGAGGGTGGGCAGGGGCTGGGCTGGAATTCCCAGATTTGCTGTGGCTGCCCCTGGATCCCTGGCAGTGCCCAAGGCCAGGTTGGACACTGGGGCTGGGATCCACCAGTGGGAGGTGTCCCTGCCATGGCAGGGTGGAATGGGATGATCCTTAAGGCCCCTTCCCACCCAGACCATTCCATGCTGACCTGGGGAATGAAGACAGGATCATCTCAGGGGTGTGAGGAGGCCTTGAAGCTGTTCCTGCACCTGTGCAGGTGGGGATTGGTGCAATTCCAGGTGCCTGGAATTGCTGCTCTGGCATCAGCCCCCTCTGAGGAGGGAACTTCACCCACTCAGCTCCTGGCAGCTGGCACGGTCATTAGCAGCCAGTGCTCAATAATCAGTGCAGCTGATTAATGCTCTGCAGCCTTTTAGAGCTGGAGCCCAGCAGAGCTGGATCAGGCCCTGGCTGCTCTTACTCAGCACAAAGGATGGATCTCAGTCTGGAGCAAAACATGGAAGCAGTGCCAGCAGGACAGGAAGGGGTGGGGCAGGGCTGTGTGCCCCTTGCAGCCACCCTGGCATCCTGGTGGTTGGACATTGTCACCTTCCCTTGTTACTTTCCCTTGTCACCTTCCTTTCCAGCGGGGAAGGAAAATTTGCCCTGTTAAAATCTATTTGTGGATGTTGTGAACTCATCCAGCTGAGTGGTCAGGTGCTGAGCAGCTGCTCCCCTCTTCTGGGGAGCTCAGATTCGAGGGGGACTGGGGAAAAATGTCCAACCCTCTGCTGATCTCCAGGCTGGCAATGCCAGGAGAGGTTTTTCTCTCCATGCAGAGAGTGGCTGCCAGTCTGGGGTGCTCTGTGCCTCAGGGTCCATCAGCTTCTCCCAAAACTTCTGGAGGCTTTGTGTGCTCACCCAGAGCTCAAAACCCCTGGGAGGAGCTGGGCTGCAGCTGTGGGGTTGTTCCTGGCTGCTCCTGCCTGGGCCAAGCAGAAGAGGACACGGAGCAGGGCAGGACTGCCTGGGGACCAGGCTGGGCACTGCCACCACGGCTGCTGTGTGACAGCAGGAGAGGGCACCCACGAGCTGTCTGTGCCCCAGAGGAGCTGCAGATCTCAGTCAGGATGAAGGGCTCCAGCTTTTATTTGTCCCTGGGTTGCCAGGTCCCTTCAGTGGTGTCCCATGGGTGCTGGAGCAGAGCCAGGAGTGTTCCTGCCCCCAGACTGGCACGGGGGACTTTGGTGGCATGGATGGCTTCAGTGGGCACATTTCCAAGGAGCTGCTGAGAGCAGGATGTGGGAAGGGGCTGTGCAGCTGCCAAGAGTGGGAGGAGGGGGTGCCCATGGTGGGGGCATCACTCCTGGGTTGAGGTGGTGCCAGCCCAATGCCCTCCCTGCTTTGGGACCGACCAGCTGCACATCACCAGCATCAGCTCTTGCCTCAAGGTGGCATTTTGTGCTTTAAAATGTGTCTGAGGAGTTTGGTGGATGCACAGTAACATGGAAATAGTTGTCCAAGCAACTTTGTGATCCTGCAGTGCCACCTGCAATCCCTCCCAGCAGCTGGGCAGGGAGATCCCAGGGTGGAGCCCCAGGGCTGGACGTGCCCTGGGCACCTTGGCAAAGTAATTCATTTATTCCTTTCTCCTAAACCTTGGTGTGCCCAGAGCTGGCTGATCCACACCCATATCTCTCCCCAGCCAAGAGGGGACCTCTCTGGAGCTCTCTGGTGCAGGAGGCATCAATCCCATGGGATCTGTTATGGGGCAGGGCCAGGTGCCCTGTCCTGGGGATGGGATTGCTCCTCCCAGGGGTGAGGAAAGGGCCCAGAGGAGGGAGCGTGGCAGTCAGAGCACCAGATGGATGAGGGGTGTCCACGCCACATCCCCCTTTGTGATGTGAAAACCTCTGAGCCTGGTGAGCCTCCTCGAGGTGGTGACTCCACATTGCTGCAGTTGTTCCCAGAGGAAGATCAATGAAATCCCACTGAAAGGTCACTCAGTCCTGCTTGAGCAGGCAGCAGGGCGCTGTCAGTCTCATTTGGGGTGAGACTCTGAATTCCAGGTGTGCTGAATCCCTTCCACCTTGGGATCCCCCTGGGGTTTCAGGCATCTTGGGATCTCGGGCAGTGGTGTGACAAGGGGCATATGGGAGGTGGGACAGTGTCCAGAGTGGGGACAGGGCCCTGTCCTGGCCATGTGCTCCCTCCTGCTGGGCTCTGGTCCCTCAGCCCTGTCCCTCCCATGCAAGCCTGAGCTCCATGAGTGCTCCCATGCTGGTCATGTTGGCAAACCAGTGTGGAGACACTGGGGTAAGCTGGGAAAGGCTCCTCTATGTGCCTTCGCTGGTTCAGGTGACCCTGATCCCTGATCCAAGAGCCTGGGCTGCCCCTGGTGCTCCACCTGCCCCGGGTGCCACCAGCACCAGGACAAACTCACCTTGGGCTGCAGGAGAAAGTGGGGAAACCTCTCTGGCTCCTGGGCAGAAGGGGAATGTGGAGGAGTGTCCTGGGAGCAGGGCTGCCCCTCCCTGGGTGTTGTGCATGCCCCTTCCACGCCGTGACTCCATAATCATTGCTGTGCCTAACAAGAGCCAGGCATGGATCGGTCATTGCGCTGCTTGGAGCGTCTGTGGTATGAGTGGTATGTGCTTCCAGCCCTGTCACAGCATTAACCAGGAGGACTGTTCTGTCTTCCCTCCACAGCCTGGAAGTGTCTCCTCAGGTAGAAACCAGCTCAGATGCTCCTTCTCATTGTGCTCCCTGCTCCCCTGCCCTGTGCCCCGCTACCCTTGCTGCTAGCATGCCGAGCTCTAACCTCCCTCCTGCTCCTGGAGACAGACAGGCCGGATGCTTGGCCCCCACCAACCCATTCCTCAATTCCCTGCAGAGCAATCCCTTCTTTGAGGAGCTCCTCGCTGACCAGGTACTAAATTCTCCTTCACCTACTCACTTTCTCTCTAGTTTCCCGCCTGGGCCGCGTGCTGCACCCGAGGTCGCTGGGAGCTTTTATTCCTCTGAGGATTGCAGTCCCTCTGGCTCCCCAAGGCACACAGAGCCCCAGAGGGAGTCTCCAGCCCAGAGCGTTGGTGTCCCCGTGCCTGAAACCAGTCCCCCAGCACCGGGAGAGCTCCCTCCTGCCGACACCGACACCGAGCCTGCTGTCCCCTCGGAGTGGGACGATACCTTCGATGCCTTTGCCACCAGCAGGCTCAAACCAGAGCGGAACAAGGAGAACTTTTTTGCCTCGGTGGCAGCAGAGGGCATGGCTTTCATCGATGACCCCAGAGCCAGCCCGACGGAGAGCTCAGCGGGGCCGCCCTGCCAGAAGGGCTCCCAAGTGTTCGAAAAGGCGGCTGAAATCCCTGCGGCTCTCCGCTCCTGGACAAATTTCTCCGCTTTAGACGTGGGGGCCAACCTGGTGAGCACCACCCAGGAGGCCACGGTGATCGAGGACGTGCTGAGCCCCGTGTCCGCGGGCTCCATGGCTAGGAGGAGGAAAAGCAGCACGCCCATGGTCTGGACAGCCGCTTTTGCCTCGGGCAACCCCGGGGACAAAGAGGCGTCAGCAGCACTGAGCACTGAAAATAGCGCTAGGGAGGAGGGGGACAGCGGTGAGGAGGAGTCCTGCAGCACGGGGACGAACGGCTGGATGACCATAGCCACGGAGAGTGCCGCTGAGCCCTCAGAGAGCGCCGGGGAGCGCCCGGCTCCTCAGGGCCCCTTCGGCCCGCGCCCGCCCTTCCTGGGCGAGGGCACCTTTGAGGCCCAGAGCTCGTCCCGTGCCACCACCGCCACCTGTGTGCTACCTATGAGCTCCTTCCCCCCCGAGCCGGCCCCCGAGGCCCCGCCGGGCAGCACCGTGGTGGCGGCCGTGCCCCCGCGGGTGCCGGGGGACGCGGCGGGGCGGAGGTTCCCCGAGGCGGGCGCGGAGCCCGGGGAGGGCGCCTTGGACATCCGCAGCTCGGTGTTCCGGCTACAGGCCAGCATGCGGCTGGAGGCCAGCGAGGGCCTGCTGCACTTCAGCTCCGACATCCGCGAGAGGCGCGTGGTGCTGGCGCCGTGGGCAGGGCTCCAGGGCTGCCCGGAGCTGCCGCCCGGGCCGCCCCCCAAACCACCCCGGCGGTTCGCGGCCGCGGGCCCCGTGGGGGACGGCGAGGACGAGGAGCCTGGTGGCACCCAGCGAGGCAAGCAGGAGCCGTGGGAAGAGTCAGAGGGCCCAGGAGCAGAGATGGGATTGCCGAGGAGCCGTGCGAGCAGCGAGCCCTCCGTGCCGGCGCCTCCCAGCCTGCCCGCACCCGGAGCGGCCGCCGCTGAAGCCGCGAGAGAGTTCGCAGCGTCTGAGGGTGCCAGAGCTGCTGCTATGGACCCAGCGGCTGGCGTGGGGACAGGAGCCGACACCTCTGTGGGCGAACACCCATCAGAGATGAACGAGACAGATGTGGCCGAACAGTTTGAGACTTGCATGTCCAACTTCTCCCTGGATGGACTGGACCGGTCGGGTGCTGAGGAGAGCTGGAGCCAGCCCCGTTTATCCCCTCAGGGGGCCACAGACAGTGCCAAGTGGGAAATGGCCTCCAAGCAGGAGCTGTTCCCTGAGGAGCTCAGTATTTCAGGACTAAACCCACCTTCCAAGCTAGACCTGGGCCAGCCCACCAGCTGGACAGCTCTGGGAGAGCAGGAGGCAGCTGGGCATCCACACCCGCCGCCCCAAAGGTTAGAACACAGGCAGAGGCCATGCCAGCTGGACCTGGCGTGCCAGGATGGCGAGGGGCGAGCAGGAGAGCAGCCCAGGCCCCGTGCCCCTCCCCGGGAGGCAGAGCAGGGCAGGACCCCCGCCAGCGAGGAGCCCCAGGGGCGCTGGGCAGAGAGCAGGATAGACTTCAAGAAAGCCGATTTCTGGAAGCCAGATAAGATAGAGAGGCACACACAGGGAGCTTCAGCCCCGAGAAACCCCTTCACTCTGGCGCTGAGCCCCAGTTCCCCGAGCAACCCCTTCGTGGAGAGGCCCCCAGCCCCTGTCCCTGTCCAGGCTGTGCTGCCCGAAAAGCTTGAGCAGGGCGACTTCAGCTTCCGCAGCCCGCAGGAGGAGCCCCCCGGGCACGGCTTGCAGCCCACTAACGCTACCCCCCTGCATGTCAGCCCGCCCCTGGCCTTCTCCACCCCTTTCCCCGCGGCTGCCACTAACCCCGAGCCGTGTGGCCGCCCCCGGGCCCCCGCGGGGGTCTCCGCCCGCCGCGCCGCCGCCCGGCCCTGCCCGTGCCCGCAGCCCGGGGAAGCTTCGGCGCTCCTGGTTCTGCCCAGGGAGACACGGCCGGCTGAGAAGCCCCTTGGCCAGCAGACGACCAGGTGAGCACTGCGGGGAAGGCGAAGGGCGTGTGTGTGTGTGGGAGAGGTGAGCCCTTGGCCCCTCCTGCTGCTGGCCCCCTCTGCTGCTGGCAGGGCTGGCTCCGAGGAGGCTGCTCCACATCTGCTGCAGCTCCTGTTCCCTCACCTTCCCCTGGTCCCAGAGAGCCCAGCCCGAGCTGCTGGGAGCCTTGGCTCTCTGGGATGCTGAGGGAAGTGGCCACTGGTGTCTGGTGTGGCCGGGGCAAAGGGTTCCATGCACCCCAGCTGGAAATCCAGAGCTGCACCCACATTGCACCCAGTGCTGATTTTGGCTCCATCATCCGCCACCCCGTGCTTGCAGAAGAAATGCCTTTCCCGTGCCTGCCAGGAGAGCTTGTGGCTGTTTGTGCTCTCCTGAGCTCCCTCATGGCATGTGCACAGCTGCTGCCCCTGCCCTTGCCGTCCATCCAGCTTTGGCTGCTTTCCTCTCCAGTACCCATTGGGTACTGAAAACCTTCTGTCCATAGCCAAAAAAAGAGTTTTTCCACCAGGGCGAAATGCCCCTCTGCCCTCCCTCCTGCAGAGATGCCCATTGGTGATGAAGCATCTGGGATTTAGCCTTGAGGCTGATGGGAATGGGAAGGGTGGAAAGAAGGGGCTGTTCCTCCTCCCAGGTCAATCCTGGATCTGTACAAATGCCACAAAGCAAAGCTGGTGAGTTCAGGGCATGGAGTCTTGCTCTGTGTCCTTCAGTTCATCTCAATTTCCTGGTTCTCCTTCCCCTGGTCTGCCTGGGCTCTGCCTGCCCAGGGGATTTACTGAGCTCCAGCAGGGGGTTATTGATCAGCCTCACTGGTCATGAGGCAAATGGAGCTTCCTGGAGACACCAAAATGGTAAAATCCCACCTAAACAAGACTGATTGTGGCCCTGGGGAGAGGAAGAGGGGGAGGATGGGGCCAGCAGAACTCACTGAGCTCCAGTCCGTCCACCAGGGTTGAGCATGAGGTGCAAAGTGATCTTGGGACCAAAGACAGCATCTGCCTGGGTCTGTCAGATGATATTTTTTTCTTCTTATTTAAGCCAGACCCTCCAATCATTTTTAATTGGATTATTCATCCATCAGCAGATAGCCTTCTTCAAAATTTGCAGGGCTGCTGCCCAGAAACGTGGATTTTGTTATGTTTCATGGAAAGAGAAGTGTCCTGTGGTCCCAAAGGGATCACTGAGGCAGTGAGGGAAGCACAGGGGTCTCTGTGTTGGTGGTACCTGCTTCTGGCCATCCCTGTGCATCCATCCAGGCCTGGTTGGCTCCTGAGATGGAATGGGCTGGGATCCAAGAGCTGCATATCCTGGATATCAGGGCTGGCTTCTGTTGTGACACGTGGCCAGGAGCTCCTGAACGTCCCTGCTCGGGTTCCTCCGGCACAGTTTGGATCCTTGCTGTGACTGAGGAAGCTCTGAAGAACTCCTGAGGCCTCTGGGAAGGCTCTGAGGCTCTGAACTGCTTTATAGCACTGGGGAGATGTGAGAACTGAGCCAGGTGAGGGAGGAAGGCTGGAAGGGATCTTTTCCCAATCCCCATGGCCATGCTTCCCTTCCCAGGATCATTTCCTGTTGGAATCACCAAAGGCACATAGATGAGGAAAAGATGGTAGAAAAAAAGTGGAAGGGAAAAGGAAATACTTCAGATTTGGAATGGGCAGTAAGCCCTGGCTGGAACTAAAGGGTGAAGGGGAGAGGGTACCTGGTGTGGGATGGTGAGAGTTTGGGGTGAGGGGCTTCAGTGCCTCCTCAAGAGAGCTGGAAATGGGCAGTGGGGTCCCATGGCCCTTCCTCTTTGGTCATCTTGTGTGGCTGCTGGGGCACGGCAGCACCAGCTGCAGCTCCCAGGTGTGTGGAGGCTTTGCTGCCCCTGGGGACAGGGCAGGATGGTGTCTTCACTGCTGGGGATGTGTCACATCCCAAGGACAGGAGGGACCCCAAGGACAGCCTGGGAGCTCCACTGCCTGGAGGAGCCTGGCAGCTGTGCAGCTCCTGCTCCTCCATTGGAATGCAGCAGCTGTGCAGCTCCTGCTCCCTTTGATATGGGGCTGGCCCAGCATCCTGTGGTCCATGCAGGTGACAGGACTGGGGGTGTCACAGGTACCAAGGTGGTGGCACAGGCTGTGCCTTCCTCGTGTCGAGAGTGCCGAGGATGCTGTGTTCTGAAAATGAGGTGTCAGGTGACACCCTATCTTGGTGATCCTCGTGGAGCCCCTGGAGCTGGGAGTGTGGTTTGGCCCAGCCAGGGCAGACCTGGAGAGCTGATCCCAAGCCCAGTCATTCCCCCTCCTCCTCTGGACCCTTGCTCCATGGAGAGCTGGCCCTTGGGTGCTGAGTGGTACTCCAGGCACAGCAGCTGGGAGAGGGATTCTCCTCCATGGGAGAGGGATTCCCTTGGATTCCCTCTCTGTGAGTGAGGAGCATTTTGATGAGCATTTAAAGGTTTCCTTTGGGAGCTGCTGAGGGAAATGCACCCAGTTTTTCCCTGTGCTCTGCAGTGACCTTGGGAGCACCAGTGAAAGCTGGGACAGGGCAAGGCTGGCTCAGAGAGGGGGACAGGGCTGGGCCAGTGTCACCCTGAGATGTTCCACCTTGGCCTTAAGCGCCATCATAACTCAAATCCACTTGGGATGCAGTTCTGGATTAGGAGCTGGTGAGCAGCTGATTCCACGCTCCAGTTGATGTTCATGGACCAGAATGATGTTCATGGTCCAGCTTCTTGGCAGGTCCACCAGACCTTCAGATCTGATGTGAGGTGTGAAGCTCCCCTGGAGGACCTGGTGCCACCATCCCAGGACAAACCCAGCTCAAGGAATGTCTCCAGCTCTTGGATCCTCCCAGAGACACACGGAGCAGGCAGAGCCCTGCATGCACCACCCTCAGTGGGGAGCAACAGGATAAATAATTCTTTTCAAAAGCCCCTTTTCCAGCCCTGCAGCAGTGACTGTTCCCACTGGCCATGGGGCTGGCAGCTGCCTGTCACCACGCTGGGTGGGAACATCTCCCTGTTCCAAACACATCCAAGCATCCCCACTGGCTTCCCAGGGCAGCTCGGTCCCAGGGAGGTTCCCAGCCACACTGTGGTTGTAGCCTCTGTGCTGGCTGTGGGGATGCATAAGGTGACAGTGACATTTGGGGCTCAGGCCTGGCTGGATGAGCAGCCCTGGTGGCTCCCCCAGTCCTCTCCTCACCCCTGTCCTGCAGTGTCCTGGTGGTTGTAGCTCCTGGTCAGGGTTTAGTGCCAGTGGGCAGTGCTGAGCCTCGTGTGCAGAACAGCAGCTCCTGCAGCCCCTGGCACTGTCAGTAGCTCCCCCTGAGGGCTGTGGGATCCCTCCATCCTTTCCAGCTGCCCAGGAGTGCTGGGCTCTGTCCTTGTGCCTGGACAGCTCTGCCAGGGAATCAGAGAATCACAGAGTGTGCTGAGCTGGGAGAGACCCACCAGAGTCATCCATCCACCCCTGGCCCTGCTCACACACCCCAAATCCACCTGGGCATCCCTGGAGTGCTGTCCCAACGCTCCTGGAGCTCTGGCAGCCTCGGGGCTGTGCCCATTCCCTGGGCAGCCTGGGCAGTGTCAGCACCCTCTGGGGAAGAACCTTTGCTGAGCTCCAGCCTGACCTGCCCTGGAACAACTCCAGCATTTCCTGTCCCTGGTCACCAGAGGGAAGAGATCAGAGCTGCCATGTGCTGTCCCTTGGGAGGAGCTGGTCCTTTGGCTTATTGGAGCAGGTTGGTGGCTGCAGTGCTGTCCCCTCCCAGCACAGGGACAGCAGGAGGCATCATGGTGGTTGAAGAGGATTTCCACATCCTTGGTATGTCCTGATCCCATCACCATGGCCGAGGCACGAGGACACAGCACCGCTGGGACACACAGCTGGTGGGGCTGTCACCTGTGAGAGGCTTTGCAGAGCTCCAGGTGGAGGTTTCATCTTTCCATCCCAGTGGATGGAAGTTTGGGTGTTTCCATCCCAGTGAATGGAAGTTTGGATGTTTCCATCCCCATGGATGGATGTTTCCATCTCAAGGATGGAAGTTTGGGTGTTTCCATCCTGATGGACAGATGTTTGGATGTTTCCATCCCAATGGATGGATGTTTGGATGTTTCCATCCCCGTGGATGGATTTTTGGATGTTTCCATCTCAAGGATGGATGTTTGGATGTTTCCATCCTGATGGACAGATATTTGGATGTTTCCATCCCAAGGATGGTGCACAGCTGTGCCTGCTCCTTGCAGGGAGGGAGCATCAGGTCACTTCTCTTTCCATCACACTGAGAAGAAAGTGGACTTTGTTCAAGCCCAGAAAGAACCTTTTGGGTGAAAAGTGGGGCAAAAATAAATGAAAATCAAATTCCCCCATAACTGGCTCCTCACCCTCCCTTTGGCCTCGTGGAGGGGGACAAATTCTGTGGTGGCTTTCAGGCAGGTTCCATTCAACTCTTGGGCTGGAGCATCAGTGGTGACCCCAGAGTAATCTGGGGGTCCCTGGGCAGCAAAAAGCTGCTCTGGGCAGTGGGTGCAGCAGGCTCTGATCACACTGGAGCTGCGTTTGAGCCCCTGGCAGCTGGAAGTTGTGACCCACAGCATTCCCAGTGAGGATGGGCAGTGCAGGTGTGGGCTCCAGGATCTCAGCCTAACACGTGTGCTGGGGCTCCTTGTCTCCTGTGTGGGTGGGAGCAGCTCCAGGGGCTCTGCCCTGCCCTGCTGGCTCTCCTCAGAGCAGGAGAGCTCTGGGTGGCACAGACAGGGGGTTCAGCAGTTCCTCAGTGTCCTGGGTGGTGCCATCCCTGTACAGTCCCAGGGACAGGAACCCTGGGGGTGCTGACTGTCCCACCCTTGTTGCCCACAGCCCCCACCCCGTGAAGCCCCTGAGTGCAGTGCAGGAGGGCTCCAGCGAGAGGAAGCAGCAGCACAGGGCCAGCCTGGGCTCAGCACTGAGCAATGGCCTGGAGAGGCTGAAGACAGTGACCACGAGCAGCGTCCAGCCCCTGGCCCCGGCCTCCCAGCAGGACAAAACTGACCCCAAGGTAAAGGTAGGAGGCTGTGCCACCCCTGCTCCAGGTGTGCTGCTCCAGGGCCTGCCATGAGGGGGTTGAGGGTCCAGCCCCTTGGGCTGCTCTGTCTCCCTTCTCCCCTGGGCTCTGCACCTCCTCACTCCCTTGTTCTCCCATCACCTGCTTTGCTTTGGGGGTGGTGTTGTGCAGTGTGTGAGTGAATCCCTGCTTGTAGAAACATGGAATGGGTTGGGAGGGACCTTAAATCCCATCCAGTGCCACCCCTGCCATGGGCAGAGACATGTCCCACTGTCCCAGGCTGCTTCAAGCCCCAATGTCCAACCTGGTCTCCACAAGGCATAGAAGGTGGAAGATCCTTCCTGGAGCTTTGCTGACCTGGATATACTCCAAACACTGCTGTGCTGGGGCCAGCAAAGCACCTGTGGCACCTCTGAGGACACAGAGGGTGTTGTGAGGGTGACCCTTCCATCCCTTTGTCCACTCCCACTCTGTTTGCCTCCCCAGTGTCACATGGAAAATGCTGCTGGGTTCACCTGATTGAGGGTCTCAGAAGCCCTGTGGGTGCTGCAGGGTGTTCAGCTGGTGCTTTATGAGCAGCACACGAGATCTCTGTGGGTCCCCTGTGCTGCTCCTGCCTCTCCACTTTGGAAAGACAGACATGGAAAGTAGGAGTGCTCTGTCTGTTACTGCATCCTGCAAACATTACCAGGAGCAGAGATTTTAATGCCAGTCCCTGAATGTCCCTCTTGCTTCCCAGCAGGACCCTGGCCAGCTGGACCAGTCAGCCAAGTATTACCACCTGACCCACGACGAGCTGATCCAGCTGCTGCTGCAGAAGGAGGGCGAGCTCAGCAAGAAGGAGGAGCACATCCAGGAGCTGGAGAACTACATTGACCAGCTGCTGGTGCGCATCATGGAGCAGTCCCCCACGTTGCTGCAGATCCCTCTGGGGGGAGGCCAGGCCCCCTGAGCCTGCCCAGGGCAGCAGCACCTGGCAGAGCTGTGCCCCCTGAGCCTGCCCAGGGCACCCAGCAGAGCTGTGCCCCAGTAACCACCACGCTGCCAACACCCCCGCACCCCCTCTTCTCACCCGAGGCCTGCGGTGGCTTCTGTTCCCAGAGTTAGCAGGAAGGGTTATCTGCTCCTTCCCAGCCCAAGCTTAGCCCAGCTCAGCTCCAGGGAGCTGTAGGGTGGTGGGCTGCCAGCACCCTATGGGGAGGAGCAGAGCCCTCCCCACCAGGCAGGTGCCTCTGCAGGTTCCTGTTGCTGTGACCGAGTGCCACCTCCCAGGCACTCCTCCTGCCAGAGCTTTAAATGACCCCTGGACATCTGAGAGCTGGAAACCATCTCCTCGTGACTTCACCCTGCTGCTGCTCCTCTGCCCACACTCCTCCTCCTCTTCTCTCCCCTGAGAGTGGTGTCCCCTGGCTGGTGTTGAGCTGCTGGGTGACACTGGGGGCACTGAGACCCAGTGAGACTCCCCCAGCACATTCCTGAGCAGAGCCTGTGGGACACCCCTTGCCCTCCTGCCCCAGTTACCCCCAGTGAAGGATGAAGAGCCAACTCCAGTTTGTGCCACTCTCTCACCACACTTGTGGGAGATGCTCCACAAAGGGACAGTGCCAGGCCTAGGTGGTGTCACTGGTGGCTCTGTCACAGCACCAGTGACACTGCCTGGGTCCCTCATGGTTGGACTGGGAATATGGCAAAGGCACCCCAGGAGTGCTGCAGGAGATCCTCTGCATGCCCCCACCCAGCAGGGGCTGCTGTGCCCTGGAGGGACCAAGGAGTGCAGAATTCACATTGAATTTCCACTCAGTATTCCCAGGAATGGCTGCTCACAGCTGCCCGGCCCTGTTCTGCCTCATCTGTCCAGCACAGCCAGAAAACACCCCCAGAACAAGGTCTGGGGAGTCTGACCCCTCTGCAGGGCCCCTGGAGGGTCAGACACCCCAAACCCTCTTGACACAGCCCAGAATTCCCAAATCCTGGCAGGGCAGTGCCCAGCCTGCTCTGCTGATCACACCCACACACTGGGATTGGCTCTCCAGGGCAGTGCCCAGCCTGCTCCCCTGATCACATCCCAGGCTGGGTTCAGCTCTCCAGGGCAGTGCCCAGCCTGCTGCCCTGATCACATCCACAGGCTGGGATTGGCTCTCCAGGGCAGTGCCCAGCCTGCTGCCCTGATCACATCCACAGGCTGGGATTGGCTCTCCAGGGCAGTGCCAAGCCTGCTGCCCTGATCACATCCACAGGCTGGGATTGGCTCTCCAGGGCAGTGCCCAGCCTGCTGCCCTGATCACATCCACAGGCTGGGTTCAGCTCTCCAGGGCAGTGCCCAGCCTGCTGCCCTGATCACATGCACAGGCTGGGATTGGCTCTCCAGGGCAGTGCCAAGCCTGCTCCCCTGATCACATCCACAGGCTGGGATTGGCTCTCCAGGGCAGTGCCCAGCCTGCTCCCATGGTCACATCCACAGGCTGGGTTCAGCTCTCCAGGGCAGTGCCAAGCCTCAGGGCAGCTCTGTCCCCTGCTGACCCCTGAGTGACCACCCAAAGCTGAAGCAGCATGAGACCACGACTGTGTTCTTTGTTCCAGTTGTAAACTTGTCTGTTGCAATTTTCATCAAATTCAGTACATCATCTCTTTTGGCGTGCCAATTCCCCTTTTTGTTTCCAGTTTTGAAGTAAAGTTATGTTTGAAGCAAAGTTATGTAAAGTAAGCTGGCTAAGGCTGCAGGGACCCCCTTGAAGGCCTGAGGGGATCCTGGCCCATACTCAGTCTCCACAGCTAAGGAACACTTCCCAGGGCAGCACTTTGGGATGGAGTGAGGATGAAGAAGCTGTAGGACTGGTGTAATTGCACCAATTTGGAGGGGTGTCATTTTTGTTAAATGGGGTTACATCTTTCCTATGGGTAGACCTAACAAGCTCAAGGTGGGTCAAGTGTTGGTTGGGAGGTTGATATTGAAGTTGGATGCAGTAATGAGCTTTGGAGGACCCCAAGAGCTCCAATTCCTGGGGTTCCTCTGGTGCTCGAGGCAGGGTCTAAGCATCTACCAGACTGGGTTTCTTATCTGTGTGTGGGTATTCATTTGCTGCTAAGGAACCCTACCAGGCACATTGACAGAGGGTTGTCCACACTGCCCATGGACAGGCAGAGATTGTCCTGCTGTAAAGCTTTGGCCAGTGTGACCCAGATGTTCTGGCTGGGCTGAAGGACAATCCATGCACCAGCTGATGGAAAGGTGAGGAGAATCCAAAATCCTGTCTGGAGCAGTCAGTGATTCCCTGCCACTGGAGACATGGCAGGATACTTGGGGGTGATGAGTTGATCTGTGAGTTTGAAAAAATGGGTTTTTAGACCTATATAGCTTTACCAGCCCCTCATATCTTCCCATCTGATCCCCTCAGTTTTTACTGAGTAGAAAAGGGGAGGGAAAACAAGAAGGGGTAACAATGCAACAAACTAAAGAGGGGTAACAGTGCAAAACAATGAGCAAATGAAACTCAATACAGAGTCTTATGATCTTCTGGAGCAGTGCAGAGTCATCTTCTGTGATAAACATCTGTGTTTACACTCTTTTTTCTTCTCTCCTCCACACCACCCAAGCTTGATCTCTTTGCTGTCTCTGAGGTTCAGGGGGAATGTCTCTGGGTGCTGCATTTGGCAGTTTGATGTACAGCTTGACATTCCTGCCTGGAATCCACCTCGGGCCAGATCCTGTAGATACACAAGCATAACCTCTGCCCTAAGTAATTCATGGAAATGGGCTCAATATTTGTTTGAATTTGGGGTCTTTGATCAGCACAGGGGGTTTCTCTGTGAGCTGAGCTCTGTGCATGTTGGAGAAGTGCCTGACAGTGGGGGGGTTTGGCTCCATGAATGAATTATTAAGAAAATTGATGACATAAAGAGCCTTACATAATCTTTGTACATTCAGCAGTGTTTCAACTCCCCCATGCTGCTGATCAAGGACTCTCTTGAGTGTACAGTGAGCCCTCTCTACAAGAGATTGCCCTGTTGGTGAGTGGGGAATGCCATTGGTGTGTTTCACCCCCATTGATCTGGGAGCTGTTTGAATTTTTTGGAGGTTTAAGCAGGACCATTATCTGTTTGGAGAATGCCTAGGGTGGAGAATGCTAGGAGAAAATGTTGGATGACATCTCTTGTGTTTTCTCCTGCATGGGCTGATGCAAATGCTGCCCCAGAGAACGTATTTATGGAATGAAGGCATTAAGGGCCAAAAGCAGCTCAGAGTTCTTGTAATGCCATTTTCCTCTAGCCCCCATGGGAAAGCCTACATATTCAATATTTACCACATTAGTCAGGTGTTGTATTTGTGAATGAATTTATTTTTGTCTCCCAAAAGGTGCATAATGTGTGACATCTATTTGCCAAAGCTGTAAACTTTCAAGGCCTCAGGGGTTAACCCTGGCCCTCAGAGAGGGCAAAGCAAACTCCTGACAATTGGGGCAGGAGCCCACGATTGCTCTTGCCTGTTCTCTTGTGATTTTAAACATTCTGACAAGGGCTGGCACATTCTGATGAAAAAGCTGATGGCTCAATTTAGCCTGATTGAAAATGTCTGCACTGCCATGGCTAAATATCTGCCCTCCAGTTGCCTTCTGTGACTGGTCCTGGGAGGTCAGTGTGTGACCTCACGTGCATAATGTGATATGGTTGCTCTCAGTGGGAGAGGAGGTACATTAAATTTGAGAGCAAGCCTTGCAAATCTGAATTTGGCACTTCCTTTAACGAGGAATGTTCTGCTCTCTCAGCTATTCCAGCAACATAGGCCGAATCAGTAACTAAATTTAAGGGTTGTTTGAATTTCTCAAAGGCTCTGACAACGACTGCTAATTCTGCAGTTTGTGGGGATCCTCGAACAATCTGAACATCAGACTCCCACTCTTGAGTGTCAGGATTCTTCCACGTCATGACTGACTTGTGGGATCCCCCTGAACCATCAGTAAATACAGTCTATGCCTTTAGAGGAGTTCTACTTTTTAATGAATTTGGGACCAAATTAAAGCAAACATTAAACAGTTTATGTTTTGGTAGGTGGATGGAGATTTGGTCTGGGTAGCTGTCCAGAGTGAACTGGAGGTGCTCACTGGTTTGGAACAAAGGTTCCAGACTGTTTAATGCCTGTGAATTCACACCCCACTAGGGTCCTGAGGTGAGCTCTGGCCTTTCTGATAAGCTGGGCCCTAAGCTCCTGAGGTGTTGTGATGTCTTATTTGGTTTGTGTGATTGAAACACCCACTCTGTGATTAGGAGCTGATCTCCCTGAGTGGGGTCCCACTGGAAAATGAGCCCATGGAACTTGGGTGACTTACCCAGGATGACAAATTGGAAAGGCAGGGTAGGATCAGCATGGTGGGCTTGTCTCATGGACAATGCTTCTGATACCTTCTGGATCACTTCATGGGCCTCTAGTGTGATGGTTCCTGGGGAGCTGAGGTCATCAGCGCCTCTCAGGAGGTTCAAAAGGGTTGACAAGTCCTCAGTTGCGATCCCCAGCAGTGAACAAACCCAGTTTATGCTCCCACAGAGCTAGTGGAGGTCTCAGGGGTCTTGGGTTGTCCTCATGGTGAGCTGCTGGGGCACAATGGTCTGCTCACCAATCTGGAGCCCAAGGTAGGTCCACGAGCAGGTGTACTGAATCTTCTCTGTAGCAATTTCAAATCCTTCAATGGCTTGGATAGTCTGAGATGAGTCTCCAAATAATAGTCAGTCTCTGTGCATATGAAAATATCATCCATAAAGTGATGAATTACGGCATCAGGGAATTTTTCCCAAATGGACGTGAGAATGTGGGCAACAAACATTTGGCAGATGACTCATGAGTTTTTCATCCCTTTAGAAAGAATTTCCCCTTGATGCCTTTTTAGAGGGCTTGTCTATTAATTGATGAAATTGCAAATCTTGGGGCATCTTTAGGATGGAGTGGAATATTAAAAAAACAGTCCTTAATATCGATGACTGCCAGTTTCCAATCTCAGGAGCATTGAAGGTGAGGGCAAGCCAGGCTGTAACAATGACCTCATTCACCTTCCTGTGGTCTTGTAGGAGCCTCCACTTGTCTTTGCCTGTTTATGAATGACAAAGACAGGGATGTTCCAAGGGCTAGTGGGTGGTACTGTGTGGCCCTTAGATAGCTGCTCCTGCACTACGGATTTGAGTGCCTTTGGTTTGACTTCTACCAGGGGCCACTGTTCCACCCAGATGGGACCATCTGATTTCCACGTGTGTGGTGAGGTGGGGTGCTCTGCAGTGGCCCAGCTGGAAATCCTGTGGGTGTGAAGGGATTTCTGGTCTGAATCTCCATTGTCTCTGCCCCACAGAATGACAGGTGCCTTTACCACAAAAGGTCTTCCTGTGGCAATGTGACCCTCAGGACCTTCAGTAAGGATTGACCTTTTACTCCACATAGAGGTGGCAGCTGCTCCAATCCCAGAGATGATCCATAGGCTGGCACCAGTTCCCAGCCCTGTGGCCACCTGGAGTGAGCAATGATGGTGACATCTGACCCGGTGTCAGTTACACCTGGAAGAGAAACCTTGGTACCTTTGTTAGACAAGCCACACTCTATAAGAGGTCTGTCTTGGCCTAGCATCTCTGCCCAAAAAACCATAGGATTTTCTGGCAAAACATCAGCCCAGGTGGGTACAAGAAAAGCTTGGGTATAGGTGTGCCCTTAGTCAAACCCCAGGGTGGGTCTGTACATATTACAGTGATCTCATGCATTGGCCCCACAGTCTGGACTTCTGGAAGCACATGTAACTCATTAACAGTGTCTCCTATGATTAAAACATCCCCTGGCCCATCAGGAGGTCCAGATTTACCAGCTGGATTCAGCAGATCACTTCATCCTCAAATTCAACAGAAAGGGCTCTCACCAGCACTCTCTGTGTCCCTGCCTGGACATGTTAGTAGGCTTGGGAGAGTCAGCCCCTTCCTCATAGTGAGTGCCATCATAGATGGTTTCTCTGTGCCTGGATGCTCTGAGATTGTGGGAAAAGAGGGATGAAACTGCTCAAAAGAAAGATCTCGCAGGAGTTTTGCTGAGTTGACCAGCCCTTGAGGTCTTGAGGGCTGTCAGTTGACCCCTGAGAAATTCCCTAGAAAATTGGGTGTTTTCCCTTGGGGAACTGGAGCACTTAGCTGCAACTCAAAATCCAGTGGCTGGTCAGTGGAGAGGCTTTCAATGGGCTAATGAGAAGCCCCACAGTCAGGGCACCAATTTGTAGCAGCGTGAGGTTTAGAGGCTGGAAGCTGCAAGCTCCTACCTGATTCCCAAGAAGCATCTCCTGTGGAAAAGCTGCTTGGGTAGGAATTCAAGCAGGGCAGTCAAGTCCTTTTTTTTTTGTTTCATTTTTTTTGTTTTTTGTTTGTTTGGGGGGGTTTTTTTTGGTTTTTTTTTTTGTTTTGTTTTGTTTTGTTTTGGTTTTTTTGCCAGATCCCATTTATCCTAGTGTTGTGGCTGCTGAAGTCCAGCAAGCACGGAACAGCAGGGAGGGGTGTGTCCCTGAGCTCCTGGGGACATCTAGGGGGCTGGTGATGGCAGGACAGCCCTGTCCCCGCAGTGAGGGACTGGAGGAGCCTCCAGTCTGTGCAAAGGTGGGATCTGCTCCGTATGGGGCTCCAGGAGCAGCAGGGAGCGGGGACAGCCCTGTCCCTTCTCTGTCCCCACTCTGCTGGCCCCTCAGTCACTGTCCTCGCTGTCCCAGTAGGCTCCCAGCAAACGCAGTGAGGACATGGCTGCTGCTGCTGCTGGAAGTGAGCTGGTGGTGGCCATGGTGCCTCGGGTTTCCATCCCTTTATCCAGGGCGGGATGTGGCTTCTCCTTCCTGCAGGCCACCAGCCCGGCCAGCTGGGCCCTGGTGCTGAGCTTGCCCAAGCTGCACTCCCAGCTCTCCATCCTCAGCCTCTTGCTCTGGGTGTCCTCCTGCAGGATGTCCCTGGGTTTTGATTGAGTTGTGGGATTGGGACAGTGTTTTGTTGGTTCGTCATCAGAGCCAGAATCCACCAGGAGCCGGCGGCTCTGGGACTGTTCCAACATGACCTTCATCTCCTGCTCATCCTCCTCCTGCTCCTTGCGCTTCTGCTCCTCCTCCACCTCCTTGTGCTGCTTCAGCATGGCTTCAAAATCCACGTTGGCCTGGCGCTGGTTGAGCTCCTTCAGCTCCTGCAGGTTCTCCAGGACCTCCATCTCCAGCTTGGAGTCCTTGGTTCGGTTCTCCAGGACCTTCATGGGATTGTTGAGCTCCTCCTCTTCCCTCTCCTTCTGCATCCTCTTCTCTTCCTCCTCCAGGAGCTTCTGTGCCTGGAAGTTCCTGGTGGCGCCGTGCTCCATGGCGTAATCCGTGTTCTGGGGGTCTGTCTTGAAGGTGATCTCAGCCAGGCAGCGCGGGCACTTGATGTAGAAGCGGAAGATGGGCAGCCCCAGGTAGGACTCGTTCTGCACCGTCTCCTTGCGGCCGTTGAACTTCTTGCCCTTGTAGATGTACTCCCCACACGTCCTGCACCTCATGTTGAAGGGGGCCATGAGCCTCACCACGTACTGCCGGTCCTTTGGGAGCCTCAGCTTGGGGATCTTGGCAGGATCAAAGTCTGGGGGGTAATATTTGTTCAGCACTTTCCGTTCCGACATGGCCGCGGCTTCTCCCGGTCCCCAGAGCTGCTCCCGCACCGCTCACCCCACGCTGGCCACCACTCTGGTTTAGATGGTGGAAACAGCTGCCTGGTTCCCAAGAAGGGTCTTGCCTTGGTGTGAAAAGCCAGGTGTCTGATAAGGAAGGCAGGAGCCTCCCCTGAAATGGAAAACAAAATGGTAAACAGGTGTGGTTCTGCTGGAGCAGGGATCCTGGACAAGGGTGGAGTTTTCCTCTGGAGCTCCAGGGATGCTGTAGATGAGCCTAGTCTCCCTCTGGGAATGCAGTGGGCAAAGGCTGCTGTGGTGTTCAAATCCTCAGAATATATCCAGGTAGGAATGCTTGGCTCCTCCCCATCACCCAATGGGATGATGGAATTTTATCAGTGTGACTCAATGGCCCATTGGCAGAAGATAATGAATAATTGGTGGACCATTAGCAGAGGATATTTCCCAGAGGGAGGATTGGTTGTGGAAGAGAAACTGCTCAATTAACAAAAGATAACTGCTCCACCTCTGACAGATGGGAACAGAACACACAACTAAATCTTTCAACCTAAGGCACATCTCCTGTGGAAAAGCTGCCTGGGTGGGAATTCAGGCAAAGCAGTCAAGTCCACACACCTCACTCACCATGGCTAGCTCAGCTCACTGAGGCAAGAAGGGCCTTTTGTAGGATAAATTCCAGCAAGGCTTGTTCCAGCAGGCTGAAGGGAAATCAGGGACAAAAGAGGAGACCATGTGCTGTGCATAATCAGGTATGGGTCAGCAGGCAGTGCTGACGGCACAGGGGTGGCACTGTGCCCTTTGTCCTGCCCTGCAGGGAAAACAGGGCAGGCACCAGGGGTACAACAGCCAGTGAGGAAAAACAGGGAAAGGAGAAACCACGAGAATTCGGGATAAATGGGGAAAGCAGGCAGGGAGGATCAGTGTTGTGAGGTTCCATGGGAAAGTCTTCTCTTTCAGCCTAGGTGGGGAAAACTCTGGTAGATCTTTCCAGGGTGAAGCCTGGAGTTTTCAAAGAGTTCCACACCTGATTTACCTGGCTGAACCTGAGCTACTGAGGAAGGGGATATGAAGGATGTTGTTCCCTCCCTCATCCTGCCAGGATTTTGGCTGTAGAAGGTGCCCATGCAGGCAGAGGGGCAGTCAGAGTGGGATTTCAACATGAAAGGCATCTTCTCCCTCTTCTCTACCTCCCAAAGTCACTGTGTTCTTTAAAACCTCGCTGCTCTTCTCTTCACTTGCTTCAGTGTAGACCATGCCTTTGAAGAATGGTGCCTTTTGCCACAGTAGCAGTTTCCTGCCCCAAAAAGGCCCTGCAACCCAATTCTCCGTCCCACACAACCTGCCTGGGGCTGGCTCCTCCTCTGTTTTCCTTCTCACCCAAGCAAAGGGAGTTAATTGTCACCCAGGGACAGCAGAGCCTCCCCACCCCCCGTGCAGCTGCCCTGGCTCCTCCAGGAGTTCTGCACAGCAGCTCGGGAGAGCTGGGGCAGAGATCAGCAGCTGACACAGCAGGCAAGGGCAGGCTGAGTGTTCCAAGTTGGAGACAGGCAGAACTGGGTCAGGAGGAAAGGAGCTCTGCCCTTTCCAAGCCTTGGACCCCTGCATGAGGAGGAGGAAGAGGAGGATGTTTTCCCTGGGAGAACAGCAGCCATGAACCTCCCACTCCTTCCTGCCTCTCCCCTCCTGGGAATACCTGAGGTTTGCACTGCTCCAGCTGCTCCTGCTGTGTTCCTGCTCCTCCCTCTGTGTGTCTGGGCTGGGGTGGGGGTGTCCAAGGGAAGTGTTTCTCACATTTCAGAAGGTGCCAGGAACCTCTGTGCCTGTTGGGTCAGATCTGTGCCCTGGCAGCCCGAGCCCTCTGTGGGTGCCCAGCTGTGCCCGTGTGAGCAGTCAGGGAGGAGCTGTGGGCACTGGAGATGCAGCCCTGGGAATGCAGCAGTGCTGGGGAGAGGAGTTCCTCAGCGGGCATTCACGGGGGAGCTGCAGGGCCAACATCTCCCATGGGAGCCAGAGCTCCTCTCTGCTCCCAGCCTCACAAACACCCTGCTCTTGGCCCTGTGCCCCTGCAGGGACGGCTCCTGGTGCTCCCCGTACAAGTGCCAATGTTTGTGTGGATCCCACGGCCCTCCCTCCCACCTCTCCCTCCCCTCAGTCGTGTCTCACCGCCTCCCTCAGCCCCCTCTGCCTTAGTCAGCTCTGCCTTGTTTTGCTCCAAAAGCCTGAACGTTTTGCACTTGAATATAAAAAGTGACTCTCAGAGCTCAGCAGGCTGTACCAGGTGTGCAGCCCTGCCAGCAATAGGTGCTTCCACATCTCCTGTTTGCAGCAATACCTGTTCTGTTCCCAGCAATACCTGCTCTGTTCCCCCATCTCCTGTTCCCAGCAATACCTGTTTCCTCCTTTCTTGCCTTTCCAGCAGCAGGTGCTTTGCCATCTCCTGCCTTTCCAGCAATGGGTGCTTCCACATTTCTTGTCTTCCAGCAATACCTGCTCTGTTCCCTCACCTCCTGCCCTTGCAGTAATGGGTGTTTCCATATCTCCTGTCTTTCCAGCCATACCTGTTCCCTCCTCTCCTGCCCTTCCAGCAATAGGTGCTTCCACATTTCTTGCCTTTCTAGCAATATCTGCTCCTTCCATCTCCTGCCTTTCCCGCAATACCTGTTCTATTCCTTCATCTCTTGCCTTTCCAGCAATACCTGTTCTGTTCCCTCACCTCCTGCCTTTCCAGCAATAGGTGCTTCCACATTTCCTGCCTTTCCAGCAATACCTGTTCCTTCATCTTCTGCCTTTCCAACAATTCCTGTTCTATTCCCTCATCTCCTGTTTCCAGCAATCCCTCATCTCCTGCCTTTCCAGCAATGGGTGCTTCCATAGCTCCCATTTCCAAGCAATATCTGCTCTTTCCATCTCCTGCCTTTCTAGCAATACCTGTTCCCTCCTCCCCTGCCTTTCCAGCAATACTTGCTTCCACACCTCTTGCCTTTCTAGCAATACCTGTTCTGTTTCCTCATCTCCTTCCCTTGCAGCAATGGGTGTTCCCATATCTCCTGCCCTTGCAGCAATACCTGTTCTGTTCCCTCACCCCATGCCTTTCCAGCAATACCTGTTCCCTCATCTTCTGCCTTTCCAGCAATAGGTGCTTCCATAGCTCCCATTTCCAAGCAATATGTGCTCTTTCTATCTCCTGCCTTTTCAAGAATACCTGTTTCCTCATCTCCTGCCTTTCCAGCAATAGGTGCTTCCACACCTCTTGCCTTTCTAGCAATACCTGTTCTGTTCCCTCATCTCCTGTTTCCAGCAATCCTGTTCCCTTCCCTCCACCCTTTCCAGCAATTCCTGTTCTATTCCCTCATCTCCTGTTTCCAGAAATCCCTCATCTCCTGCCTTTCCATCAATGACTGCTTCCACACCTCTTGCCTTTCTAGCAATACCTGTTCTGTTCCCTCATCTCCTTCCCTTGCAGCAATGGGTGTTTCCACATTTCCTGCCCTTGCAGCAATTCCTGTTCTGTTCCCTCACCTCATGCCTTTCCAGCAATAGGTGCTTCCACACTTCCTGCCTTTCAAGCAATACCTATTCTGTTCCCCCATCTCCAGCCTTTCCAGCAGTCTCTGCTCCCCCATGTCCCATTTGCAGCAATCCCTGCTCCCCATGCCCCATTTCCAGCAATCCCTGCTCCCCATGTCCAATTTGCAGCATTCCCTGCTCCCCCATGTCCCGTTTGCAGCAATCCCTGCTCCCCATGTCCAATTTGCAACAATCCCTGCTCCCCATGTCCCATTTCCAGCAGTCTCTGCTCCCCATGTCCCATTTGCAGCAATCCCTGCTCCCCATGTCCCATTTCCAGCATTCCCTGCCCCTCCCATCTGCAGGAGCCCAGGTGTGCAGGGCTCCCTGGGTGCTGCAGGAGCGTGGAGCAGTGATGCATGTTCTGTGTCTGTCCCCCAGTGTTCAGCAGGTCCCTCCCTGTGCTTGGGAAAGCTCCTACAGATGCTCCTGTCTCTGTTCTGTGTTTCCCCACCCTCTAGGCTGAAGAATTGGGGTTCTCCCCTCAGCACACAGGTTTTGTTCTGTGCACAAAAGCAGCACAGCAGCCCTGCAGTGGGGTCTGTGGTGCTTGTGTTGAACCTCCATCTTCCCAAGGGAATGGTTCTGAGGGCATAAATGCTTCCCCAGAGACGGAGGGGATGAGGAAGAGAACTGGGGAAATGTTCTCAAGTTGCCCATCTGGGATTTATCTCTGTGTTCAGTGACTGAATTTCCTATTTAGTGATTTATTTGGGGTCCCAGGGGCAGGAGCAGCATTCCTGCTCTGTGTCCCTGAGCTTTGTCCCTCTGTGCTGAGCCCAGGACACCCCTAGGGCCAGCAGCAGCCTCTCCTGTTCTGTTTTAAACACCCCCTGTGGTTTTGCCTTTCTCCTGGAGTTTGTTTTTCCACGTTTGAGCTGTTCCATGAGGCTGCAGCAGGGTGCTGTGCTCTGCCTTGCTGCCAGCCCTCAGCTGGGGTTTGCTTCTCCAGAGCTTTGGCCAATTTCCTTTCCCCTTGCCTGGTCCTCCTGGCCACGTGTGGGCCAGGAGAGCCACCAAGGCTTGTCCTCAAACTGGAACAGACCTGAGGGATGTGGATTCTCCAGTGTGATGTAGACTCAGCCTTTTCTTGGAGGGAGCCCCAGTTTGGGGTAAAAAACCTGGAAAAGCATCCCCAGGTGGGAGAAGTGTTGGGTTTGGAGTTGTTGGTTTCCCTCTCTTCACGTCTGCAGGAAGTGGGTTCTGTGTGTCTCATGTTTTAAGAGTTGCAGCTAATGTTTATAAAGAGCTTGTTATTTACGTTTTAAGCACTTTAAAAAAAAATAAAAGTTGTTCAAGCTGTTCCTAGACACTTCTGATTCATTGACAACAGCGTCTGTGCTGACGGCGCCTGGACACCGAGTGACATTTCTGTTTGTCTGCTGCACGAGGAGGAGGAGGAGGAGGAGGGTGTCCAACTCCTCCAGCAGCTTTTCCACCTGTCCTGACAGTCCCTGAGTGCTGTGCAGTGGGAATGCTGCAGGAA